GAACCCTAACCTTGTCAACTGGTGATATACTCCTGACCCCGCCTATACCTTCAATAAGCACTTTCTTCACCTTGATATGGTGAACACAATTAGTCACTACTTTCAACTGTACCTTCATAAAATCCATCCAGCAGCATCAGTAAGCTGGCGATTGATAAGTCGTCATTAAATAAATAGTACTGTATCACTGTGTGTGAGAATTTTTCATTGTAAATCACAAGAATTCAATGAAATAGAGTCACAGAAGTATTTATTACAATAGTACAAGAAGGAATTATAGTTTCAAATCATGCAGTTCATTGTAACTTGTATACCACAATGGTGAAGTAATCACTAATAAGAATCAGTTGTTGTGTGTACAAGTTTCTTTGCAAACTATTTCCTTGAACATCGACTCATGAGTACTACATGTTCTCTAGCGAATATTGAAGTTCTTAATCCATAACAGTATTCTGAGTTCTTTAAATACACGAGAACCTGCTTTATCACTACCTTAAATCTATCGTGAATAGTGAGTGGAACACCATTCCATTTATAGATCACATGAACATGACTAGAAGACATTGTTGACTGGTGTTATCAAAGACAGAAAATTCATATGAAAGGGAGAGACTTTGTTACAGTAGTAATGGAAGTTGAAACATGCATGACTGAATAATAGTTTCAATTACTGAGTTGTTTATTGCCATTTCTACAGTTATTGTTTGTCCACATTTAATTAGCATACTAATACTCTTCGGTTGATTTGTTATTCCGTATATGCATTTCTAAAGAGTTAAAGCACTACTAATTCCTCCCTTACTGCCTTCCATACTGAACATAACAGTATTTCTGCTACTACTGGAAATACATTGTGCCTAAGTATTAACATATTCCTTAAGGTACATACAGTAGAACTGCTGACACCTCTTTTATAATGCTTACACACTGCTTTAGAGAGAGAGAGAGCTAAATTTATTCCATTTTTATTGATTGATATCTTAGTGACTATTAACCGTGTAATAACATTAATCGGAGTTTAAAACAACAAAGAGTTAATTATATCAATCGTATTCCAATACAAAGAATCTGTTTAAGCTGTCTGTATGAAGTGACAGTAACAGATGTCTTCTTAAATGTTAGACGTACAAAGGGCTAAACAGGTGTGTGTGAAGTAGTGAATTGCAAGTGTGAGAAAAGGTTTCAATCTGAATTCTGTCATCCGTTTTCCTCTGTTTCGACTTATCAACCATTCGTGCTTGGAATTATACTTCCAGGATCTTGAAGCTTGAAATTTGTGGAAGGTGTGTTGAAAGACAAATGACCGGATTGTTTCAATTTTTATACTCACGAAACGGATGCCTCAAAGTTCTCCTGACTTTTATTTTGATAATCTATGATGAAAGCTAGTGAAATAAATGCAGAACACCCTTTTCAACGGCTGATGTTATAAGATATGTTGCTAATTCATTCAAAAGACTATCAGAACAACTGATCCTCAGTGAAGCTGTCATCGTCTACTGTCGTGGAGACACGTGCACCTGTGGAGTTCAAAACTTGTGGACTTAACTCCTAGTCATTAGCTGGTGAAGCAAAATCGTATCTATTGTACAAATATGCATCACATAATTGTTTCTCACTTATATAGGAAGCATCATTTCAACTGCAGGCAGGTGAAATCGATGAGGATGTCAAAACCAGAAGTGGATAGGTAACCCAAACCTTCATCACTGTGAAATCATTTTGGAAATTTGCAGCACTAAACATAAAGAATAAAATCCGGATCTGCAATACCAATGTTAAGTCAGTCAGTTCTTCTTTATAGGTCAGACATTTAGTGCGTCACGAAAACCAATTCGAGCAGGTCACTGCAGACTTTTATCAACACCCACCTACTCTGGCTCCATACTGAAAATCTTATGGATGAACAGGAAGGATTAGGAACAAAAACTCTGGAAACGAACCAACCAATAATCTACTCCTTAGCAAATATGCTGAATAGAATGGAGGTATTTTGGACACACGCTTAGTTCGTTGAGTGATCTGTCACCCCAGGACGTCACTTGACTGGAACAAGAATGGGAAACGACCAGTTTAGAATGATGTGGAGGAGATCGTCTGAGGAGAAAACAAAGGCTTATGGAAAATCGTGGAGCCAGCTAAACAGCACTTCGGAGAACTGTATGAAATGGAGGTATTCTGTTGAAGTTACATGTTCCACTCGGAATTTAGAGGATTAATAATATTAATCCTTTTATTTACTAAACTTCTTCAAATAATATGTTAACAAAGATAGATGTCCACCAGCTGTCATTGAAATCAGAGAAACATAGGTATATTACAAGAAATAAATGCACTGGAAAGTCGAAAGTAGCTTTGGCTATGCGAGCTGTAGTTGTACAGAATGCCGTTGAAGTTCATTTTATGAATACAGTCGATAAAAGCGTCAGCGTGACAGTGTTCAAAACCAGTGTACACAAACTGCTACATTAAATAAAGTCTTTGAATTTATCAAAACTCTAGATTAGTTCGAGTTTCCCTGGTATTTAAAATTCATTCTGGAATGGTTGTGTTATCTAAGCTGGATAGTTCAACTGTTAGGTTTCATTGTCAATCTAGACAACCTCTTCAGAGCTAACTTCAGTATAGCTAACTTGAGTGATTTCTTTTAAAATTCCAGGGAAGCAATTAGTATGTTTTTTAGATTGTAGGATTTATGAGGTTTGAGATTGATTTCATTTATTAGATTTTCTCACAAACCAACATCAAGGTGTACTGGACAACTTTTCCATCCTGTTTCGGGACTGTTCAGCAGTGCGAAAACACCACAACTCCTCTAGGGCAACATCGAATTCAATGACCCCCTGAATTCTAAGTTTTTCAACTCATGATATAGCTCTGCTGTCATCAGTGCCTTTGATGGCCATCTACTTCACTCTGACATTAGTGAACCCTACTGGTGATGACTTCCCACTCTGCAGCTTCAAGAAATCCATCTAGTGGCCATCAGTAAGCCGTGGACTGTCATTCAGATTATAGGGAATTTGGATTGATTTCAATTATTTGTTAGTTTTTTTCATTTTTCGTAGTTTTACCTATATTGTACTTCACTCCGTCTAACAGAAGGTGTTTTTCTATATTTAACAGTAACTGCTTTGAAAAACTTACTATGGAATCTTCACACTGAAGATGTTGCCTAGATGGACAATGGAAGCTTTTCAATTAAACTATGCAGCTCAATGAACACAGCAATGATATCAGTATCAATAATATCCACTCGAGGTACAGATCTTCCTTCTTTAAGATTTATTTCACCCTTCACCTACCCAGCTTTGACGATAAAAATGTAGAACTCAGTAAGGGGAATGAAATTTAACTTCATTATGGATAAAATTTTATTTTGGTAAAATCACACAGTATTATACAGTATTATTTACTGATGACTTACAAACTCACTCAGAGACAAGCTCTGTAGGCTAAATGACCAGGCGGACCCAATTAAACAAAATAATATAATTTACAAAATAACTTGCAATGACTGTGAGTTAAGTCAACTACATAGATCAAACTAGTAGATCGGGAGCAGTGCAGACACCTGTTAGAACATAAGAATTTAGCTAAGGTTAGAATGATCAGTCCCACGAAGATAATTAATTTAGGCAAAAACTCAGCACTGCATTGCAGTGCATGCATTAACACACAACCACACAATAGGGTGGGACAGAGTTAAGATTCTAAAAAGTAGTATAGGTAGGTGGAGAGAGAGAGTTTGATTACTGAATCCTGTTTCATCGAGTCTACACCCAACACAACACGTGCAATAGAAGTGACTCAACGCAAATACCAGAGATATGGAAGATATTATTACCAGTTAAATCAGAGGATAATAAATAATGTTAAAATGTATTTCAATTCACATTATAACATTCTAACAAGTTATTTATTTATTTGACTATAAAAACATCTTATTTCCCATCTTATTGTATTTGATTGATAACACTAATATTATTTCCGAATGTACTTTATCTTATACTGATTTTATTCAAATGTCTAATCATCAATTTTTACTCATGTATATAAACGAAGCAAGAAAATTGTGTGAGTAGTGCCTTGATATGATTATGAGCACCAATAAATTGTGCTCGAAACGTGGTCATCAGTAAATATTACTGTATAACACTGTGTGATTTTATCAAAATAAAATCTTTTCAATGTACCAATGACGAAGTTGATTATTTTTACAGTTTTTAAATCACTTGTGATATTATGTGTTTGGAGGAGATCGGCAGGAAGCCTTCCAACTAGGTTTCGTGCTGGTTGGCACTCACCAGTCAACAGGATGTATCTTCAACCTCCAAGGAACTCACCTCCCATCTGAGATTCAAACTCGCGTCACCCAGTGTGTATTGTAGTTGAAAAAGTTACCACTGAGTTATTCGGGCTAGCGATTGACCCACCGTGGAAGTGTATTCGATACTTTTGATTGGACACTAGTAACTAGTATGATGTGTCTAGTCCTATCTTTGGTGCAGACTGAATTCTATCAGTCAGGTTTGCAATGTGGCCACCATTCCACCAGGGTGGCTCGCCATCACACTGCACTGTGAATTGTTGATATTAGATAGTTGGAGGCAATCGGCAGGAAGCCCAGCCTCACCTAGGTTTCGTTCTAGTTGTCACTCGTCAGTAGGGTGCACCTGCAATCTTGGAGGAACTCACGTCCCTTCTGAAATTCATACCATCTAATAACAATAATTCATAGTGAACCATCTTAGCGAGCCACCTAGTGGAATGGTGGCCATATTGCAAACTTGACTGATAGAATTCAGTCTGCACCAAACAAAGGACTAGACACAATCATTACACTAGTTACCGACTAATGTCCAATCAAAAGTAACTGGTTGAAAAAAATCTCCTAACCACACCTTAACTACTCGAAACAATAAGTAGTATTTATAATATATGAATAAGATTCTAATAAAAAAAATTATAAATTTACTTAGATATCTGGTACAACTTACATTCATATGCAGCCATTTCAATTCCCCATAGAGTAACAAATATAATTAATAAAATCAATAGAATTATAATCGCGATAATAAGAAATCTTTCCCATTTACTATGTGGTCTCCAAAATCTCACATGACTATAAGTATGTGAATTCCATAGTTGAAAAGAATTCTGCCCATTTTTCCGTTCATTTTCAATCAGTATACCAGCATTTGATGTACGGCTTTCGCCGACATTACTAAAGGCTATCCCGTCGTCTTTTGCACAATTCCCGTCAATAGGTGACGAATGTTTCTGATTCACAATATACTGATGACGATTATCAGTCATTGTGTGTGAATTTTGTGTCAATGTTGTGTTTAATTATAAAGCAAAGTATCAAGATATCAGTTAACTTAAATTCTTAAATATTACTCGATACAGTAAAAATATATATAAATAAAATAGTTAATATTCGAATATTTTGAAAAGCATATCATGTTATAAAATCTTGCATAAAAATATATTTCACATTAAGATGACGACTTTTTTCGGCCTGATGAGAACAAACAACCTATCACAAATTCAGGCTACATGTCTAAAAATTTTGATAAATACCCAATCATTTGGATTCGATAGACGGATGGATGGATGGACAGACTGACGGATTGGGTGGATGGATGGATAGTTAGATAGACAAACAGGCATCGATCGATTTTTGTGGTGGATGAGTGGACGTGCAGAGTGTTCAGCTCACAAAAAATTTGAAAAGCATGAATATATGATTTTGGGAGAAAAAAGATAATATCAATTTTAAACAACGATCACGTTATATGCATATATATATATATATATACATGGCAGGAAAATAAACGCATGAAGATAAGTGAACAAATTAAATAAAGATGAATAAAACTCTTCATTTTTATCTGTTCAAGTTAGGCGCCATATTTCTTCTTACAATCATTTAAACAAATCTAACAACTGATTTCAATAAATTCTCTTTTACATTGCATTGTACAGTATCATATTACATCAGTAGATTACAAGAAATAAGGCTTTAGGGAATGTGAAAGAACGACTGCAGAGAATAAAATTTCAAGATGAAAATAGCATATCATGCTGTTTAAATCTCACATGTTTGATAGAGGAAATATTAAACTAATAAAGGAAATTTGTAGCTCAGGTGGATGATTTGCAGTTAATAGTGTTCTCTGAGCTGGTTGGTTTAGTTGCGGAGCTTTCGTCGTGCAATATTCAGCATAAAGTGAAATGACACAATTATATCACTGATGAAGAAATTTAAATTATTTCACTTCATGCTAAATTTTGCGCTGAAGATGTTGCCCAGAAGGACGACGAAAGCTCCGCAACTAAACCAACCAGCTCAGAGAACACTATTAACTGGAAATATTAAACTACCAAGTTTCAAGCATTTTTGTTAAAAACGAGAGTCTATGAGCTTATTCACAGAGCTTTTACTGATATTACAGGCTGAGTAGCTGTGATGGGTTTGTTATAATCAACTAAAGTCACACACAGATTAAAATGTGAAGTTAAACAGTTTTTTCTTAAGTTTACAATGGTCCTCTCTCTCTAAGCTCATCTGAATAATAGAAAAATAATTAGAAATTAATGGCTGTTATATTTTGGTTTCTCTTTTTCCAGTCTTTTCAACTACTTAACATTACCTTGAAGAGAAGACAGCGGTGATGAAGTTAGCTAATCAACATAAGCAACAGCAAACACTATCAACAGGAGAAATTTGAAGGAGGTAACGACTTTCACTTAGCCAGGCAGCATGGTTTAAACTTCAGGCGGATGACACTGATGAGGATATCAAAGGCATTGAGGATTGGAAAGTCAAGACAGACCAACAGTGATCTGATCCTAATTTTACAACACCGACTTCAAGTCACTTCTTCTATAATAGTTAGAAACTTGACGCATGACCCAAATCATCCCAAGCAGGCCTCAAACTTTTATCAACGGTTGATTTCATTCGATACTGAAGGTCAGATGGCCGATCAGAAAGGATGACCACCGAGGAATCCTGGGAATTAACCCACCGAAAACCCTATTACCTGATAAATATATCGAAGAAAGTGAAGACGAATCGTACACACACTCTGAGGAGAAAATAGGTTTACATAAAGCGACAGGCAGTCAAATGAAATCAGAATGCGAAACGAATAGTTGGCCTGTGGTCTGAGGATGACATGAAAGTGATGATGGCTTATGAACATTCGGCAGAGAACAGGACAAAAGGTGTGCTGCTGAAGCCTTTTGTTCCATTCAAAACCTAAGGGCATAATAAGTCTAAATATATTCCCGTCAAATGAAGTTAAAGAAGGTAACAATTCATAATCGAATCTTTTTCTTTTATAAAAACACACAGCGATAGAGTGTTTCAGCGACAAGCTGTCTTCGGGGTATCAATAGTAAACAAATAATACTCTACCACTATGTTCCTCTATCAGATAAAGTTATTTTTCTATAGAGTTATACTTTTCACTGGATGCCAGTTAGTGACTAGTGTAATATATCTGGTCCTTTGTTTGGTGCAGATTGAATTCTATCCGTCAAGTTTGCAATGTGGCCACCATTCCACTAGGTGGCTCGCCATCACGGTGCACTGTGAATTGTTGATATTAGATGGTTGGATGCACTCGTCAGCAAGGTGTACCTGCAACCTTCAGGGAACTCATGTCTCTTCTGAGATTGGAACCATCTAATATAATAATCACAGTGCACAATGATGGCAAGCCACCAAGTGGAATGGTGGTCACATTGCAAACTTGACTGATTGAATTCAGTCTGCACCAAAGATAGGACTAGACACATCACACTTGTTAATGACTAGTGTCCAATTAAAGTATCCAGTAAAGTCCTACAGGAGGTTAACTGGGAGCCCGAATAGCTCAGTGGTAACGTTTCTGACTGCAATACACACTGGGTGATGCGAGTTCGAATCTCAGAAGGGCGATGAGTTCTTTCAAGATTTCAGATACGTCCTGTTGACTTGTGAATGCCTACCAGCACAAAACCTAGTTGGAAGGCATTCTACCGATTGCCTTCACCCACCTAATACAGTTATACTCCATCACAGTGGCCAAGTTGTATTTTTCCATGGAAGGCAGCTGTTACCAACAAATATCGAAGATTTACTTAGTAATAATACTGATCAAAATAGTAACACGTATTTTTCTATACCTTAATATTTAAATCTTCCCTATGTATATTTTGCAGATGTGTATATAATGCAGTGCTATCTGAAACTGATCAGGTTATTGAATCACTTGTTTCAGATCTATTTGTTTTTCGTGCCCTTGAGTTACGAGTGGAATATATGGCTTGAATCCTGAACTATGAAATTTCAGTAACTGCGGTACTGTTGTTTTTAGAAGGGGTAAAGTTGTTAAACTGAGATCCAACCTCCCGTCCTTTTCTTGATCTTCTACCAGCTAGGCAAGGTTCAAAAATTCGATGGTCGGGAATCGTACCCGGACCATGCGGGTGGCTGGCATCCTACCCCTGAACCATCATTTATGATGAATCGAAAATCCTCAGTTGAAATTTTTATGGTGAATGAAGCAAGAAAATGGTATAGTACTGCTTGAGAAAGAATTTTCCTCAGACTTCAAAAGCAACTTGCCAAGAAACTGGAGAGAAAAGAAGAGCATATTGAAGGCATTTAGCAAAGCTTAAACAGCTGTCATATTCACACGAGAACAAGAATAGAAGAAATCTGTTTGCTGACACCGTTAATCAAATTTTCCACTGAATGATTTTGCTGGATGAAATATTCAGTTTCTATTGACATGTCGGATCCTGGTATACACACTTCGACAAGGCCATAAGATTAATATGAAATCATTTGGTTGACAGAAGCTAGCGGTAGAATTCAGAATGTCTTCCAACAACTAGATGCGTCTGCATCCCCATTGAGCCCGTTGATGTACTCGATGAAACTCTAAACCCAACAAATGACAGCCGACACGAGTTGCACAAGAGCGACAACCACTCGTGGTTCACTGGCCTAAAAGGCGACGCTTTGGCGTTTGAAGCAATGAGTACTGTGCCTGATTCTCTTTGGGAATACCACCAGTCACTTGGAATGCAAATACATCTAGCAGATGAGTTCAGAATAAGTTAAAATGTGTGCCTTGCACTCTAATGACAGTCAAATGGATCTATCAAAGGAGGCCTGTTTGAAACTTGGGCTACCAATACACTCCATCATTACACTACATATAATTTTTCTCGTTCTAATTGTTTTCATCTACCAAAATGTGGCTTCTAACGGTGTCTTCTATTCCTGCGAGTATTTAAAATGTCTACAGCCTGTTGGTTCTATTAAACTCAAGAAAAAGCACAGTCGAGGTTGTGAGCCTATCACAATATATGAGATAACTGCTCCTGAGATTTTCAGTGCAAACTACCACTGTCCGAAACGTGGAACTAATTATCTACAGTCTTCAATTATTCAGCCATTATTATGTCACTGGGTCAAAATTCCACTCCTGTACCTTTCTTAAATGGCTTTCAATTTAATGTTGTGCCTATCTCCGAAGAGGCAAAAAATAAATGTCATAAGGGATTGGTTTTCACTTCAGGGTCTCCTGTAAATTACTGTTTTACTTGAGGACCCTGGACAAAGGGAAACTATTGTGCAGTAACTTCCTCTATACAATGTATAAACACTGTTCAGAATAAAGCTATTATTATTATTAATTTGAATGTTCTAGTAACAAAACTCCTAATTGGGACAATAAGCATATGCTTACAACATGTTATCGAGACACTCACTGAGTTTCATTCCTTCACAATACAAACTAAATCTAATTAGGTGTTCAATTCATTAAACAAGATTTATCTGATCTGATCTGAAAATGTACTTTGCAAGAGACTTGGGTAATATCCACTGAGTAGAGGCGGATGTTCAATAAAAATCTTGAGAAGAAAACATGGATTTAACGAGTCCCAAAACCAATCACCATTCAATAAGAGAAATTTAAAGGAAGTTACTTCATTCACTTACCGCAGCAACGTCGTTACAGCTGCAGATGGAACAGACAAGATATCAACGACAGGATCAGGGAAAAAAGATAGTTCTTAATCCCTCTGAAATCAGCATAGGAATCGACTGAACTAAGCATAAGGAATGAGATTCATATTTTCAGCACCATAACGTCAACTCAGTCTTCGCTTCTCTATGCTCCAGATACTTGGCTCGTGCATCATGAAAAGTATTGCCAACAGAAAGCTACAGGCTTACCCTGTTCGCTGGCTCCATACTGAAAACCAAATAGCCGGCCAAAAACAATTAGCGACAAGAACCTCCGGGGATGAGCCAACCAAGAGTCCATTGTTCAGTAAACATGTAAAAGAAAATGGATCGGACACGCTCTGAAAGGAATGTCGAGCAACAACAAGTAATAGGCACACCCTCAAGTAGAAGTCGAATGGTAAATGACGAGTTTGGTTTCTGACGGTGACATGGAGGAGATCGTGTTGGAAGGGAATGAGGGCCTATGAGAATTACGTAACCAGCGAAGAAAAGATTGCAAGGAACAGATGGAAAAGCGGAAAGGCTACTGAAATCCTGTGATCCACTTATATTGCATTC